AAAGAAAGCCCAGAATTCCCTATATCGGAAAGTCTCATTAATCAAACCCTTTTTATTAAAATATCGCCAGTTGAGTCATAAAATAATCCTCATAAACATATCTCTTATCTCCTCTACTTAAGCAAATTCTAAGCTAAGGGACACCCTCATTGCCTCATTTCTCTAGTGCTTCCCAAACCCCAGTAAATAAGGTATTAACTACGAACGTTGACAGGCTTTGACGCAGCTCTACGTACTCCTTCGCCAACCACTGACTGCTGCGCGATGCGCAACTGCGGAGGTCGCGCCCGCCGCTTCCCCGCTAAACGAAGACGTTCCGGCCGCAGTGCTGTGGCTCCCTGGAGATGCATCTTTCTCGCGTAATTCGTAAACATACGTTCGCCCGAATCGCCCCGAGATTCATGTGCTCACAAAATCTTCCGCCGCCTCGCCTCTCGGATTGCGCGCCGGCGCTGCACTTGCGCTCTAAACAATGCCGCCGCAACCGGGCGCTCCTCCATAAAAAACTTATGCGCCCGTTTTCCTTCCTTGTGCTCCGATTACGGCGCAGATATCAGCGCGAAAATATTCCAGAGCAATATCCGATAAAAACGTCGTCTATGATTCAGATTTAGTTCGTACTTTAAATTCGATTGTGCTTCCATTTAATTTTGCAACTCTGTTTTGTGAGCAGGTATTCACTTGCATTCATAAAATGAATGCCTAGGCGAAGAGCTTAGGGCATTGTGGAGTCAAGTTATCTGCGAAAGCCTCTGGTAATTGGAGAAGGGACGTTAGTGCGAATACTGGAAAGAACAGTTAAGCGAGCCATGTAACCTAACCGTGTTACCATCACCGCATAGAGAAATTTACACCTTGAGAATGATTGTAAGGAAAGATTCTCCGAGATCGAATGCTGTTCATGTTCCTCACTCAGTCTCTTCATCCCAAGATAAAAAGATAACGTGCTCGTGTCGTTTCAACTGTTCCTTCCCTCACATCTACCCAAATATTCCTGAAGCAGCATAGTGTGTGAATGCCAGAGCTGCATGCAACCCAAACGTGTCATAATTTCGATGTTCGGGAGACATCAAATTAAATACAGAAGAGAAACAAATGAAAATAGAAACAAAAGCAAAAAGATCAATACGAAAAAACAAAAACAAAACCTACAAGAAAAGCACGTCAACAAAAATCTCAAACTATAATGAAACCCAAAGAAAACAAGGACAACTCAAAAGAGAAAGCAAACAAAATTAAACAAGAAAAAAGGAAACAAACAAACGAAAAACACTTGGTAATACGAGCCTTCCATACTAGTTTTAATATACTTATCCTCTTCTGTTTTTCGTCACTTTCCTTACTTAAATATTGTGGATCTGCAAAAACGCTTTTATTTCCTTGATTTGCTATATCTTGCTTTTGTTTTGGAGCCCTATTTTTATCTTACTCTTTGTCCTCTTAACATTTGTCCGAGGTCATACCTTGGGCTTCTATGTGTGAGTGGTGTGTGTGTTGTGTGTGTGTGTGTGTGTGTGTTTCTGTGAGTGCATGTACGCGTGATCATGTAAGGTGAGTATGTTGTATGCAAGCGTTTCTGACGCCGCGAGAGTGCGTGTTTACACACATACGCGCGTACACACACATGCGTACTCATACTCCGTACACACACTCGCGCGTACAAACACATAGTGAGTACCGCGGAGTGTAGGTACGCCAATGTGTGTAAGCGTGAGCGCATGCGCGCGATACTCACCGCGGATGAGGTTCTCCTCGCGAAGCTGGGCGTGGCGCGCCGTTCACCTGCATGATGCGCACGCGCTCGTACTCGGGCGCGCCCGCAGTCGCCCAGGGAGTCCGGCGTGCCCACCTGCGCAGCGCAAACAGTAGCAACACTGGCTGGCTGTGGCCTTTAGGGGGCTTCATGTCGTGAGGATAGGTGTGGTGAGGTTTGGTGAGGTTTGGTGTGGTGAGGTGAGGTTTGGTGAGGTGAGGTGAGGTGAGGTGTGTTGCGCTGCGCAGGTGGGCACGCCGGACTCCCTGGGCGACTGCGGGCCGCCCGAGTACGAGCGCGTGCGCATAATGCAGGTGAACGGCGGCGCCACGCCCAGCTTCGAGGAGACCATCCACCGGGTGAGTATCGCGCGCATGCGCTCACGCTTACACACATTGGCGTACCTACACTCCCGCGTACTCACTATGTGTTTGTACGCGCGAGTGTGTGTACGCGGGAGTATGAGTACGCATGTGTGTGTACGCGCGTATGTGTGTAAACACGCACTCTCGCGCGTACAGAAACGCTTGCATACACATACTCACACCTACATGATCACGCGTACATGCACTCACAGAAACACACACACACACACACACACACACTCACACATAGAAGCCCAAGGTATGACCTCGGGACCAAATGTTAAGAGGGACCAAAGAGTAAGATAAGAATAGGGCTCCAAAACAAAAAGCAAGATAATAGCAAATCAAGGAAATAAAAAGACGTTTTTGCAGATCCACAATATTTAAGTGAGCAAAGTGACGAAAACAAGAAGAGGATAAGTATCATTAATAAACTAGTATGGAAGGCTCGTATTACCAAGTGTTTTCGTTTGTTTGTTTCCTTTTTTCGTTGTTTAATTTTTGTTTGCTTTCTCTTTTGAGTTGTCCTTGTTTTCTTTGGTTTCATTATAGTTTGAGATTTTGTTTGACGTGCTTTTCTTGTAGCGTTTTGTTTTTGTTTTTCGTTTATTGATCTTTTTGCTTTGTTTCATTTTCATTTGTTTCTTCTGTATTTATTTGATGTCTCCTAGACATCGAAATTCAGACACGTTGGTTCGCTGCAGCTCTGCATTCACAACTATGCTGTTCCAAATATTTGAGATGAAGGGAGGAACATTGAAACGACACGACGGACGTTATTTCTTTATCTTGGGATGAAGAAAACTGAGTGAGGACATGACAGACATTTCCGATTCGGAGAAATCTTTCTTACAATCATTCTCAAGGTGTAAATTTCTCTATGACGGTGGATGTCAAACGAGTTAGGTTAATGCTCGCTATCTGTTCTTTCCAGTATTCCCACTAACGTCCCTTTCCTCCAATTACCAGCAGACTTTCGCAGATAACATATGACTCCACAATGCCCACTAAGCAATCTTCCCTAAAGGCATTCATTTATGAAATGCAAAGTGAATACCTGCTCACACCAAACAGAGTTGCAAAATTAAATGGAAGCCAACATGAATTTAAAAGTACGAACTAAATATCATCATAGAGACGTTTAATATCGCGATATGCATCTGGAATATATTTTCGCGCTGATATCTGCGCCGTAATCGGAGCACAAAGGAAGGAAAACGGGCGCATTAAGTTTATGGAGGAGCGCCCGTTGCGCGGCAATTGTTTACGAGCGCAAGTGCAGCGCGGCGCGCAATCCGAGAGGCGAGGCGGCGGAAGATTTGTCGAGCAACATGAATCTCGGGCGATTCCGGCGAACGTGTTTACGAAATTACAGCGAGAAAGAATGCATCTCCAGGGAGCCACACACTGCGGCCGCGACGTCTTCGTTTACGGGAAGCGGCCGCCCCGCGGACCTCCCGCAGTTGCGCATGCGCAGCAGTCACGTGTTGCGAAGGACGTACGTAGAGCTCGTCAAAACGCCTGTCAACGTTCGTAGTTAATACATTATTTTACTGGGGTTGGGAAACGCACTAGAGAAATAGAGGCAATGAAAGGTAGTCCCTTAGCTAGAATTTGCTTAAGTAGAGAGAGATAAAGAAGACTTATGTTTATGACGGATTATTTATGACTCAACTGGCGAATACGGAATATTTTATAAAACACAGTTACGAATTAATGAGACATCTTCCGATATAGGAAATTACTGCTTTCCTTTCTTTATGGTATTTGTTTTGACATTAAATGTAGATTCACTTCACTTAATATTTCCAATTATCATAAGACATACAAGATGAGCTCGTGAAACTAGTGGAAGAACTAAGAGCTTTATGCTCTCAGTTCTTCCACTAGTTACAAGGTTGTTTGGTGGTGTCAACGATCCTAATATCCTGTGTTTATTTTAACGGTGTTGGAGTTTGTACATTTCACCCTTGACATTAATAAAATATTAGTAATGTATTGATATGCGACAGAATTGCAAATTCAACAAGCAATTTTGCACTTTCTTGGCACACTACAAAATAGAAAGTACTGCACTAAGCCATTTTCATCTGTTGACTTTACTTAACTGCATGAAACAAAGATGGTGGAGGATCTGATGTGAATCCAGAAGGAGATTGAGCTTCATGTAGTAAGAAAAAGTTAATATTGAAATTATTTTGTTAACGTAAATTAGAAAAACAGCACTGGAATAGCACAAGTTTATAAATTAAGAAGTAAATTTTCACAAGTATATATTTTATAAACCAGCTAAATCATATTTGCCACAATTCTGTCGTGTACTAGACGTCTCAATTTGATTTTGTTCAGAAACTGTATTGGTAGTTAACATTGTAAAGAAATTGGCTGACTTTTAGTTTCGATCAAATGAAGTGAAAATATCAAATGGTTATATTTACATGTGACGGAACACAAGACTCTTTCGTTTGTTAGAAAAGTTCTGTTTTACTATTTTGTTCGTAAACACTTTCTCTGCTCACAATAACTGAATTTAATTTACGGCCACCTCCAACCGCTATTACGAGTATTACTTCACTTGCTCTAACATTCAACAAAGTGTGAACCGTGGAATTGAATTCGCTCCTCATTCAGTTAATTTAATTTCAATGGGTTTCATTCAGTGTTTCAATGAACATCACAAGAATCGAACAATAACAAGGCTTTTAGAGCGTATTAAAGCTAGAAAAGTCAAACATTTTAATGATCATTTACATTCCTTCTGAATTGAAAATGGAAGGGCCACACGTCGGAGTAAAGTGCTTGTGTGATTTATAACTCCCTTTTTATTTACGCCGAAGAGTCACAAGAGAATCATACGTGTTTGACGATTTCCTTTTTGCAAATTACAGAATTTGCTCAATGGGAACTTTTCCTTTGTTCCCGGAATGTCCGATAAATCAAAGCCAATGGCTAACGCTTTATAGAATCTCGGAAATATGATCGTTTACTTGTCCGCAAGCTACTCCATGTTCTTCTATTGTGCACAAGAAATATTTGCTTATGATCGAGGACTACAAAGAAATATAAGTTAAAGGATCTCTTTTCATCGGAATTTTCGGGGTACTCACAAAATAGGAGGCCCATTTTCTCTCGCGTACAATATTATTAGTCTTTTGTCTTTCGTTTTGTCTTAGTCTTTCGTACAAACTCCCGCAGTCCTGTTCGCCTGAGTAAGGAATACAGTGGGTAAAGATTAAATATTTAATGTATAAAACGTAGACAACGACTTTATAGACAAATTCTTTCTAGCAGAAAAAGTGAACTGTGTCAAAGAGTAATAAAATACTATTGAATTGTTTAGACGAACATAATGTTCACATGTTTTATTTGAAAACATTTCTTGAATAATATTTACAATTTAAAGTAGTGTATATGTTACCGATTTAGTCCGAAATACGCTAGTGGATAATTTGCACATTATACTGCATTAATGGATAAAGTTGTACGAATGTCTATGAATAGCTTACTTATTTCGAACTACATCCGGGAAAACGTTAATTTTAACCATGAGGAAATGGCTAAAGTGAGGTGATGTGCGAGTGTGGGAAGTATTTTGGAATAAAAATGCTTTGAAAAGTAAGTATTGCGCAGATTTGTAGTAGTTTTATTGTAAAACATGAAGACCGGAGCCTCATCGCCATCTCGGAAATGAGTGGCGGAGCGTCAGCTGAGATATTCGTAGAACACTCTGTAAATGTAAATGTAAATTGAATTGACAGTGATCATCTGGGGGGCGATTATCTAATCGTAAACTTCATTACAACTTAAATATTGAATATATTGAAGCCCCCGATTAGATAACAGTGTCGCGTCTGATCAAAAGGCAATTCGTACCATACATTTAAATTTTAGTATCATGTTAAGTTAGGATAGGAGATATTGTCTGATGCAGTGGAAATCGACACCTTGTCTCTCAATGCTCTTAAAAGCTTCCAGCAGCCTCACCCATACTTATCACTTATCTAATATTCCCATTTACCGGTAACGTAGGTACTTCGCCTACCTTAGCCATATGGGGATGGCTAATGTGTTTTTTATCCGGCTAATATAAAATATATCCCAAATGTGGTTATAAGTTATTTCTCGGACATAATTCATCCATTTGGATTATGTGAACTTTGACCGGTTAAATGACAAATTAGTCAGATTCCATCATTAGCATGCGAGTACACAAATACACATACGAGTAACAATTAACAAGTAAATATATGTAATAAAATCAGGGGAAACGGATTTTTCTCTTTTTCATCAATTTCTTTGTGTATATTAAGTCCTGTCTCTTTTCTGACTGCGATAGGACATATGAACATTAACCTGCTATATTCCGAATTAGCCAGTTTCAAACTTAAGCTAAAACGCATTTCATAAATAGTTATTATCGCAAAGAAATTGAGGCGCTCAGGCTAACAACGGCAGATCCCAATCGGCCTCGCATTTGCAGTTAGAAGTATGACTGTAAACTAATGCCATATAACATATATCATCCTAAAATATCAAATAAATTGGGAGATATGTCACAAACCGTGAAATTCCACCTTCAAAAAATTGTCCTGAGTGTAAGTGAACGTGAACGAATACAAGAAAAGTCATTCTTCTCACACCGAACTTCGGTTGGGAGCTGCCATTATTATTTTGAATACATTAATTCAATTACTTTCATTGTGTTCTGAGTGTGGGTGGGCTGAGTGTGTGGGCTGAGTGTGTGGGCTGAGTGTGTGGGGCTGAGGTGTGGGCTGAGTGTGTGGGCATGAGGTGTGTGGGATGAGTGGTGTGGGCTGAGTGTGTGGGCTGAGTGTGTGGGCTGAGTGTGTGGGCTGAGTGTGTGGGCTGAGTGTGTGGGCTGAGTGTGTGGGCTGCAGTGTGGGGCTGAGTGTGTGGGCTGAGTGTGTGGGCTGAGTGTGTGGGCTGAGTGTGTGGGGCTGGAGTGTGTGTCTGAGTGTGTGGTCTGAGCGCGTGTCCTGAGCGTGTGGTGCTGGGCGTGTGCTGTGTCTGTGCTGACGTCGCGACACGTGTCGTTGCAGGCTGAAAGGTGCAGGAGCGCTGCGCAGCGCGAGCTGCTTCCACCAGGAGCACGGAGCAGCTGCTGCGCGACTGCCGGCGCGGCCTGCTGCAGCTGGCGGCCGCGCGGGCGCGCGCGAACGACACTACATGTACGACGAGGAGGCGCGCGCGGCGGGGCGGCGCGCGGCAGCGGCGGCCGCGGCAGCGGGGCGCGGCCCTGCGGCGGCGGCGGGGGCGCCGGCCCCACGCACTGGTAGGACGAGCCGCCCTACGAGAGCGCCCCGAGGACTTCCTCATGGCGGCCAGCCCGCGCCCGGCCGCCACATCCAGAACGGCAGGTGGGTGCTACGCTTTGTTGTGAGAAGGGTTGTTAAGAATATTTAAAGCCTCATGCTTACATACAACCGACAGATATCTTTATTAACTGGAATTTCAAACAGTTGTATTGAACTCATTTAATCAATTTATTAATGAAAGAAATCAACTATCAAGCAAAGGAATCTAACATCATTACCACAACCTCTTGCTAATATCTTTTTATTTTCATAGCCGAGTTATTTTGCGCAAAGTTCCTCAATCTAAAAAAACATTAAACTTTACCTTAAATTGCTTTGTACTAAAATTCTGTTATTATTTTTATGGTTCATTTCACATTTATACTGTCAATAGAATTTTTACACGACGTATACTTCAGCATGGATTATAAATTAGCGCATAATTATTACTAAATTTTGTAAGGAAAATATTACAAATCATTTACTTGAATTAATTTTGTAGCATCGTAATGTTAAGTTGACCAAGCATATAAGAAAATCAAAATGTTCACTATTTTTACTCAACAAAAATACTAAATGCATAAACAATATATATAGTTTATTGTTGCCATTTATATTGGACGCGTGGCTATAGATGTAACATGAAGGAAAACACTCTAAGGGCATAACTTTTCTCTCAAGGTGTAGATGAACAGCCCCTCAGTGTGGGTTCTCTGTAGTTGAGAAGACCTCTGAACGTAGCTTTTTGGAGCTACGAAACGATCATGTGCATACACCTACGCGTGTTCCTATACGTGTAACCCTAATGATATTAATAGTCACATCTACCGAACTCACGGCACACGAGTCCAAAGACAGAGAGGAAGTTCACGGAGGCAGCCGATGGTAAAGGAGGGAGTACAACTGCAAAACAAAATTATGATGCATGCACAGTGGATTATTTTTCTGAGCTGTTGAAGTTATCACAATGCACACAGTCCCGACGAGCCCCCCTTATCTAGTAAATTAATATGCGGAGTTACATGAATGCTCCTCGGCGAAGTATACTTAATTTACGCATAATTACACGTCTATTTTCATAGTAATTTTCACACATCATACGTCTAATTACGAAGAAATCCGTCACGTGTCTAAAGTTTTTTTTTGTTAAGACGATGCTTCTTAGCTTTCTTTTGGGGAACAGGAGGGTGCGTTAAGAAGATCAGGTTAGTCTTCTCACCGAAGCTGGCGGTCGGTGTTTTTATTTAGGTATTTTATAGATGTAAATGCAAAATTTCCTCACTTAACATTTGAAGCTTCCAAAAGACAGCTATGAACTAATCGTACAGGATTACACGTTTATATATTTATGTCGTGAAGGGCTTCAGCGTGAGGAGCATAAACATTACCCAGTTCTCCTAAGGGGTACCAGAATGCCCATGAATCGCCTCTGGCCATTTGCTTGAGAGGTTGCTTACGAGATCGCTTGTAATGAAATCTGCAAGTCATCTGATCATACAAAAGCCCTCGGGCGCACTGCGTGTCCATGAAAGTTGCCCCAAAATATTTATCATTTCCAACTATTCGATTTTCAACAGAACAGGCGTTTAAGAACACTCTTCTCAGCATTCGTATGCACACAATGCAGTAGATTTTGTTGAATTGAAAGGGTTACTCGTAGAACTATGTAACCTCAAACATCTTCGCCCCAGGGGAGATGTACTAGGGCGCAGGAACTCACGAAATCCCGGCCGCGGAGAACGCCCATAATGGGAGGCGGCACGATGTTGTAAAAATGTAACGCCCCATGTGGGCTGCACGTACTCCACAACTGCTGTCGTTGTTTACTCATTAGGGCGTTACGACTTCCTCTCGTGCTTGTGGTAATGAACGGAACCTACTGGCGGCAGTTGTTGAAAGTTTTTATGGACTTCATGAGCACAGTCGCAGATTGAGGAAGAAATTGTAAAATGTTCGTCCTCACGTTCGGCGGTCGTAGGGCAACAGACGTTTAGAAGTGTTTTCTCCAGCCACCGGTTGCTAACCGTAATTTCTTGGTAAAACAATGAAGTTAGGACAACTTGCGTTGTAGGAAATTAACTCATTTACACGATTTATTCTTAAATGAGTGAGGATTATTAATTTCACCGCCTTGTAAATATTGAATAATTTATTTGTTTATGAAGTTTCACGAATTATTTGCTTACAAATAATTCTAAATCAATTTAATTATTTCAAAAACTATAATCGAAATTATTGAAACAATCTTATTTGAACGTACCTAACTTAATAAAAAGAAACTTCAACAGCGGTATGCCAGCCTCACACTAAATGTAAGGCACACAATCTTAAATAACACATTACTTATCTGCGGATGCAATAATATCCAAACTTTTACATGTCTTCCTTATTAGTAGCTAAATCAAGAAATTCAATTAATTTTACAGAACAAATTGCACTTGCGTAAACCTTATTACCAAATTAGTATAGTACTTTTAAGCTTTAAGCTTGAATCGCCCAACTAATCTAAATTAGGGAAGCTTAATTCCATTTGATCCCTTCTAATCCAAGTATGGCCCAGAGCAGCTGGCTTTCAACCACCACCTAAGACGCAGAGTGCTGGACTCAACACCAAACCTCTTTGAAAGGCTCGCATAAGTTATGGATACCTTCTTTTAGGCGAAGTATTGATAAATTGAACAAACTGTGGACAACTTCAATAACTCTCGCTCATTAGTTGCAATCCCTCATAATCTAATGAATTTTACCCCACTTGCGAATAGTATGGGATTGCTCACATGCGTGTTAATGCAAAACGTTTTAACCCCGCGCGAGCGCGCCCAATCCAAGGGGCGTCAACCCAATCCCGTCCAGCGCCGCCCCTAATCCAATCGCGCGGAGTGCAGGTGCAGCAAAGGGCGCGCTCTGTGCTCGCAGGGTGTGCTTCACGCTGAACCTGCGGCCCGAGGCGCGCGGCGAAGGGGTGATCTCGCTGCGGTCGGCGGGCGACATCTCCCTGCCCCGAGACGGCGTGGGCGGCGTGGGCGTGGGCGGGGCGCGCGGCGCGCGGCGGGGCCTGCTGCTGCCGCCCGCGGGCGCCTTCCCCGGCGCCATCATCCCGCTGGGGCGCGGCGACCGCGAGAGCGGAGACTACGCCAGCTCCGACGTGCAGAGCGTCGGTACGTACGCGACGCGGCGCCACGGGCGGCAGAAGCCAATCAGATGAATGAATTGAGGCGTCCAGTGAGAGAGGAGCTAATCCACAAAAGGCAAAAGGTCGATATATTGACAGATTCAATGTGTTCATAATAGAATACTTTCGTAGATCCATATTGTGAATTTTTTGGGTTAGCTTCCTTTCTCACTGGATGCCTCAATTAGGAAATGTTGTTTACGGTACTTGGTCGGGTGAGTAGAAACATTAAAATTTAAAAATTAGGTTGCCGACTTTTCGGATTATTTTATTCTATCCTTAGGGATGGTTTAAAAAAAGCACGAAGAGAACGTAAATATAAAAAAAATTACCCATACTACTAACATGATATGTGAAATTATACAAGATCTTTAGTAAGGCGTATACATTGGAGCCCTAAAGATGAAATAAAAATATTCTAAACGACGGTAAACTAGTGTAATTTTAATTTTTCTACACACCCGACCAAATCCCGTGAACTTTTTCTAATTACATATCATGGTTGTGAATTTTACAACAGCCAAAATAACTGAAATAGCAGACGAACGTGTACTTTTGTTCACGCTTGTCTGTTTTTCTCTCGTTCGAAAGATTTGCATTGCTTCTCGAAAATTATTCTAATGACCTCGTTTATTTTTTAGATTGTCAGCGCACAAAAAAGTGGAACACATTTTAGTAATTGTCATTTTTTATTTAAATGAAAAAAATGTTTTGATTGATTGATGTTTTCTGTGGACCTTAGCTACATTTGTACAATGAATGTTTCATCCATGGCGGTGTTCTTACTCCGCTGGAGGGTGAGAACTGGCGCCGACCTTCACGTCAGCAATTATGTGTAGAAAATAATTTTATTTTTTAAGTAAACATTTCATAAAGATAAATTTCAAGACAGGCGGTTTATACAGTAACACTTCATTAGCCGCGAATCAAACGGCTCCCCTCAGGAAAAAAAAACATTCCCCCCAAAATGACATTTTTCCAAATATGTCTCTTCCTTGCGCATCGACGCTGTATTAAATTCATATAATAAATGATGTTCGTGTCTTTATTGAGAAGTTTATGCAACAATGATAATTGTATACATCGTATCGCAATGAGCGTATACGATATAATCGGTACCTAAGCCTTTCTAGTTTAGGCGCCAGAGTAGGCGCCTTGCCTCTGCCGGCGATTGCTCACGCCCTTGCGTTGCAGGGTCGCGCCTGTCCACCATGTCGATCGAGACGAGCCGCTCCGAGCAGCCCGAGGCGGCGCCGCTCTCCTCGCCCTCCTACCTGCCGGCGGCGGCGGGCGGCGGCTTCCGGCGACTCGTGAGTGCCACTTCCGGCCTGGCTCCCTCCTCCTACTGTTCATCCTGTTTTTGTTGTTGTTGTTGTGTTCGGGTATATGGATTAGTTCAGCTGTGCGAGTGTGAAAGCGAAGAAAATGGAGGGAAGCTTATGAAAACGTCTGTCTTTTCTTTACCCACTTTTATTATCTTAGTCAAACGTGTCAAAACTGAGATCTGTCCAAACACTAGTGCTCTAATAAACTATGGCCTCCTCTTAACGACTATCAGCATCAATCTGTCACCTGTCGAGAGAGAAGTAGTCAAAAATTATAATACGCGTCTTACGAAAATTATTTTGCATTGGAATTTTTACTAAGTGGATAAAACCTTGTAAGATATTTCTAACGTATCATCTTATTACCATACTCGATTGGTTATCAAACTCGGCCTAACACACTTCTGATAAACCTACAATCTCAAAGTGTAATAAGATGTCTCATGAAACTTATTTGGTAAATAACTATTAGATTATTCAATATTTCACTATAAAATATTTATTATATTCACTACCTTCATAGTAACAAAATATTCTAATTTCGTTTCATATTTTATTCTTGATGTTTCTGTGTGTGTGTGTGTGTGTGTGTGTGTGTGTGTGTGTGTGTGTGTGTGCGCGCGCGCGCATGTGTAATGATTATTGCATGCCTGGTAGTGATAGAGTGAATGCAACAAATATATATGTTGCAAAATAAAAAGAAGGATCTTTTATTTCGAAGAGGGCTATAATGTCATTGTCAATGAACATTATTTATGTAATTCCGTCTTTTTATATTCATGGTGTTCAAATTACGGCACTTTATTTCTTTCCATCTGTACGTTTACAGCCATCTTTCTTCTAAAGTTAGTGGTTCAGGAATCCAACACGTCATATTTTTAAATCAAGGTTCGTTAGCGACGAAACCTATTTTTTTGAGACAAACTTAGTTTTCGTTTCCTTCTTTCGGATACGAGATGATTCTTTTAACAAGTGAAACCGGAAGACGCTCTAGTGCCACAGTAAGACGTGTGTGTTGTTTTCTTTCGCCAGTATGTGTCGGGTCTAAGGGGAGCACTTTCTTGCCCGCAGCAGCGGCGGCGCGACAGCGGCGGCGCGTCCCCCGGCCACAGCTCCGGCGACGACGGCGACCCACGCACCGTGCACCCGCACGTCACAGTGCACGCGGTGAGTAGGCGCGCGGGCCACGCGCATCCGGCGCTTACCAAGGTGTGGTTCACACTGGTTTGTTTGTGTGTCGGTGTCCTATGTCGATATCGTGTCCCATCAAGAACTGAATGTCTATCGAACATCCCAAAACACGCGGCTGCGGAGCCGGACTGGTATTTGACAGCTCTTGCCGAAACGATCGGGTGGGGAGAGACGAAAATGCAATATTTCACACTGCACAAACGCAGAAGATAGATAACGGGGTCAAGGAAAGTTTTCGCCTATGTACCCTGGGTCTAAGTGGTCAGGGTTCAGCGCTAGCTTGCGTCAAAAATCTCGTATATACCTCTGGAAGGTTGGCAAACCAACACGAATTCGAGTCCTAGTGATGGTCACTTTCTCAGCCTGAAATGGGGGTGAGACAAAACTTAAGTCATAATCATTGTAGTGGGTGTCGCCGAAGAGTGTCACATTTTAAGAGAAAGATGAGCGTAAAGGTACTGTAAAATGAATTATGTTTTTAACGTTACAATTTATTATTATTATTATTATTATTATTATTATTATTATTATTATTATTAATATTATCATTCTTGTTATTATTATTGTTATTAATATTATTGTTATTATTATTGTAATTGTTATTTTTGTTGAAGTACCAAACTTGCGTAGTATTTTTTTCTAGAATTATCTATTACTTGCAGTATGTGTGCTAAGAATGAACATGCATTTTATAAATAACTAAATACTATGAGTGAAAACTATCAGGAGCGTGGTGTGTTTCGCAGACCGAGTCGGGCGCCGCGCCACGGGCCTGCTGGTGGGGCGGGCAAGCGCCGCCCGCGCCAGGACCGCGGCGGTGGCGGGCGGGCGGCGGGCGCGGGACGCGGCAGCGCGGCCCGGGGGCCCGACGGGCGCCGCCTCCGAGGCCTTCCCGTCCGCCAGCTCCGCCGAGAGCTGCCCAGCGCTTCGGGCTCCAGTCAGTAATGATCGACACATCAACTCCGTTAACACGAGCATTATCGCTTAACACCATGCATCCCGAAGAGTACAATCAACACCGACAACACACTCACGCAACTGCAGTTCGTCCCAACAAGATTACCTCGTCTCAACACAACCAAACGTTAACAGGACCATTTATCCTTAACACAATCACACCGAGAGTACAATCACCGACAACACAGCCTCACCACTGGCAGTTCAGTCACGCAACAAGATTACCTCCGTCAACACAACGGGCATCACCGTTAAGAGGACATTATCCTTAAACACAATCACATTGAACCGAAGAGTAAAATCAACACCGACAACACACTCAACACTGGCAGTTCAGTCCACGCAACAAGAATTACCTCCGTCAACACAACGCATCACCGTTTAACCAGGACCATTATCCTTAACAAACACATACGCGAAGAGTACAATCAACACCGACAACAACACTCACCACTGGCAGTTCAGTCACCAACGAAGATTACCTTCCGTCAACACCAACCATCACCGGTTAACAGGACCATTATCCTTAACACAATCCACCGAAGGAGTACAAATCAACACCGACAACACACTCACACATTGGCAGTTCAGTCACGCAACAAGATTTACTCCGTTAACAACAACGGCATTCACCGTTAACATACCGAAGGTACAAGCAACCCCGACAACACAATTCATGCAAACGTCTACTGCTCAGTCACGCACGCAAGAGTACATCACCATCGTCAATACCATCAGCACCAAAAAATACATCACTTACAGTCAACACAATCTCACAAATATACAATCATACAGTCAACGAAATCACCACAGATACAATCACCACCCTCAATGCAACCATCACCGGTTAACACAATCACACCCAGGAAGAGTACCATCAACACCGGACAACACACCACCACTGGCAGTTCAGTCACTAACAAAGATTACCTCCGTCAACACAACCAACCCGTTTTAACAATAACCGAAGAAGTACAAGCAACGCCGACAACACAATCAATCAACTGTCTACTCAAGTTCACGCACCAAGAGTACATCACCATCGTCAATACAATCAGCCACAAAAATACAATCACTACAGTAACACAATCACGACAACAGGAAATACAATCAACACCGTCATGCAACCCTCAACGCGTTAACACAATCACAAACGGAAGAGTACAATCACCACCGACACCATCACGCACCGGTCCACACAACCCATAAACAGAACTTACATCTCACGCCTATTGACAAACTTGCATGCTATCAATTACGCAGCAACAACCACCATCAGTTTCATTATCGAGATAACATAATTACATATCTTGTTTGCGCTGCAATTATTGTGTCGTTTTCACATCGTACTACAATCTTTACTTACGTGGTAAATTCCAAATCAGATTCCGCAATATATTTTAAACAATAGTTTTCTATGTTGAAATTATCTTTGTTAGATGTTGCTTAGTTTATTGTAAAAACGTAAATTAAACGTGGTTAATTTTTGTAAGCCAAGAATAAAACGCGCGTTTTGTAAGCAGTAGGGCATTTTGAGGTCCGAAAGTAGTATAAAGTTACCGAAGAGAAAGGTAAATGACTTGAAATTAATAGGGATGTGTGAATTCATAAAGAATTGAAAAAAAGTTTTTTAATTGGAAATTCTTTAGCAGGAACTTCTTATTGGAAACCGGAACTTGCTTATTAGAAATTCTGCATAAACAATAAAATCGACATCGAGAAAGAAAACATGTAAGAGATTGAAATGTTTTGTTTTAAGGATGCGGTTAATATCAGAGTGCCACAATTTCCCTTACGTGGGAGAAGGGGAAGGGAAAGTTAGCGTCCATCTTCGCATGGTCAGATAGAAGCTGGACAGCAGGCATTGACTGCCTCAGTCTGCTTCCCCGCCGATTAGCCCACTCTGGCGCTAAAGCCTGATTCACAATGCAGACATAAACATAAGCATGACGTTAACATAAAACTTAGGACTATGTCCATAAGCGGAATCACTCATTATGCGTTCGCATAAGCATAACACGTAAGACGTTAACTTAAAAGCTTGCAAGCTTCTGTGCTTATGCTTAAGTAAGATATAAGAAATGAACCAATCACATTACATTCACTCAGAAGCGGGAATCGAAATCGATAGAACGAACGTCATATCAGCCGCAGTCGATATCTATTCTCACATCCAACCAATAGTAAACTAGAATGTCTTACTTAAGCATAAGCACAGAAGCTTGCAAGCTTTTAAGTTAACGTCTTACGTGTTATGCTTATGCGAACGCATTGTGAATGAGTCCGCTTATGGACTCATGGAGTTACGGAGCCAATAGAAACTCTTATTTTGCTTACGTATGTGTTATACATTTGTGAATACTTGAGTCTCTCACTTGTGTTAATATTTCCGTCTATGCTTATGTGTACGGTTGCGTTGTGAATTGGCTTTAAGTGCACGGAGGAGGCGCGGCGCGTTGCAGCGGTGCGTTGGTGGTTGCAGGCACGCAGGCGCTGGTGCCGGCGGGCAGCCCGCACGGGTCGCTGTCGGCCGAGGAGGCGCCGTCGCCCGCGCCGCTGGGGTCCGCGACGGCGCCGGGGCCCGTGCTGGCCCGCGCGCGCGCCCTCGTGGACTACACGCCCAGCCCCTACGACAAGGACGCGCTGCGCCTACGGGTGGGTATCCCTCCTACTCCTCCAGCGTTAGCCTACTAAGGCATTTGCTGCTATTACTATTTTCTTCTTCTTCTTCCTCTTTGGGCTTTTCCTGCTTCAGACGCGGGGGGGGGGCATTTCGACTATCCGCGCAGGGTACCCACGATGTCCCTTCTGGGGACTCGTGTTAACCTTTTACACTAGAAACGCTTGCGGGCTCCTCGGTCTGTGGTCGTTAGACTTGCAAGGCCTTCCGCGACAACACATGCCCATGGTGGGACTCGCAACTCGCGACCCTTCAGACCGAGGCGTTGAGTCGACACACGTTCTAGCCACCTTGACCATCCAGATCGGAGTTGATGCGTTTCTATTACGGTCTGTCCTATGGCTCGACAGCCCGCGACGAGCCTTGGCCGGCCAGAGGTTACCCAGCCTCTGGGCCATGGGATAAGGGGTTCGTGTGGTTAGCACGACGACATCCCTTCACCGTGTATTCTGGTCTCCATAACCTTAGGGTGGGCTTTCTCATCGTCACACAGCAATGGATACTGGTTCATTTCTAACGAAAACGTACAGTTATTTTTCCCCGACCGGGAATCGAATCCGGGGTTGCGCCGTGGAAAGCGAACAAGTTAACCAACGGGCCACCGAAGACTGCTGTTACTATTATTATTATTATTATTATTATTATTATTATTATTATTATTAAATGTGCAATTAACCGACCTGAATGGCTCAGCGCTTTGGTCCGAAGGCTCGCGGGTTCGAGTCCCGCCTTGGGCATGGTTGTTTGTCCCTTGTCTGTCATGTATTTGTCGTCGCGGAAGGCCTCGCGTTCTGGTTGACTCACCATAATCATAACAAATGAATGAACGAACGAACTAATGAATGAACGAACGAACGAATGAATGAACGAATGAATGAATGAACGAACGAATAAACGAACCAGTGAATGAATGGACAAATGAACTAATAGAAATGTGTGTGCTTGTGTGGCGTTGCAGAAGGGCGACGTGGTGGAGGTGCTGGCGATGCCGCCGAGCGGGCTGTGGCGCGGCGCCGTGGGCGGGCGCATGGGCGTCTTCAAGTTCATCAACGTGGAGCTGCTGGAGGAGCGGCGCCGCGGCCGCCCGCCGCACGCGCGCGCCCTGCGCGGCCAGCCCGCCTCCGTGGAGGAGCTGCTGCAGCGCATCAGCCTAGAGGTGCGCCGCCCGGACCCTTCTTCGGCCTTCCTTGGAGGGGGGATCTCGTAGAAGCATTCACGCACACTCTTCTTTTGCGTCAATTTAATACAATACAATTCCCGTCAACACGTTAATCACAAACAGCTTTATCAATCAATCAATCACTCTTTACAATCAGAATTACTTCATCGATCGATATAACGAGTTTGCTATTTATCATTATACACTATTTTTAATACGCCTTTCCACCAATTAAACCATATTTTGTGTCGCGCCGATTATCTTTTCCCTTAAACCAGTATTAAGAATATCGCCGTACGAAAATCATCTAGGTGACTCAAAGCCTTCTCGATTATTTGTTCTTTAAGAATAGAATTTTAATCAATTTCTGTAATGTTACACGACCTCCTCTTGGGAGTGG